AGTGAGACAGGCAGGAGGACGGACAGGCAGTGAGACAGGCAGGAGGATGGACAGGCAGTGAGACAGGCAGGAGGAGGACAGACAGACAGTGTTGGTCTCTGAGCGGTTGAGTCCAGACTGAGTGATGAAGAGGAGGAGACAGACAGTGAGACGGTGATACGGTGCCCTCTAGTGGTCGAACTCAGTCACTGATATGAAATATGATCGATATGAGTTTTGACTATTTAATAATGGAGTGATGGTTTGAAGTATTCTGACCTTTTACTGCAGTGAAAGTACTAATACCACACGGTACGAATACTACACTGAGAAGTATAAAATGTATTTAGTCAAATAACTGCTGATTACTACTCGTACTTCTACTCCTATTGTACTAAAACTTCAGATACTTAGTCATAAATATACTTTATACTGCTCTACGTGTATTCATACTGCACTTTATACTGCTCTACGTGTATTCATACTGTACTTTATACTGCTCTACGTGTATCTATACTGTACTTTATATATACTATGACCATTTTTGACTTTTTTCGACATGCTATACTTTGACTTTTTTTGACATGTTATACTATGACTTTTTTTGACATGTTATACTATGACCGTTTTTTGACTTTTTTCGACGCGCTATACTGTGACTTTTTTCGACGCGCTATATTGTAACTTTACGACGCGCTATACTGTGACTTAACAACGCGCTATACTATGACTTAACGACGCGCTATACTGCGACTTTTAACGACGCTCTATACTGTGACTTTTAACGACGCGCTATACTGTGACTTAACGACGCGCTATACTGCGACTTTTAACGACGCGCTATACTGTGACTTTTAACGACGCGCTATACTGTGACTTTTAACGACACGCTATACTGTGACTTTTAACGACGCGCTATACTGTAACTTAACGACGCGCTATACTATGACCGTTTTTGACTTTTTTCGACATGTTATACTATTACTTTTTTGACGTTATACTATGACTTTTTTTGACATGCTATACTATGACCGTTTTCGACTTTTTTCGACATATTATACTATTACTTTTTTTTTACATGTTATACTATGTTATTGTTCTTAAATACACTACATGTATTATAATTTATATAAATATTTTCCCCATTATCTTATGTTCTCATTGCACAGCTCCTGTCTTCCTCAGTTGCTCTGCTTCCAGTGCAGCTTGTTTTAAGTAGAGCTTTTATCCAATCAGATCTCACCTCTGTGTCTCTAGGTAAGAACAGAGGCAGAGGCCTGCAGACTCACAAGTGCATCCATGTGCAGTTTAAGTGAATGGGGACGATGTTGTTGATTGTCATAGTGTTCAACCAATCAGATCTTTAGTTTGACATGTTGGGCGTATTCTTTGACGTGTCAGAGCTGCTAGCTGGCCTACAACTACGTCAGCATTACGTGCAGCTCTGCAGTGAGGTGAAAGATTAAACTTGTTTCTCTGGAGGTGATGCGTTTCTTCTTGCAGCGATGACACTCGTATGGTTTCTCTCCCGTTTATAGAAACTGTTCTCTAAACGGCAACAGCTAAGCTAGCAGCTAAGCTGAGGGGTCACAGAGATTTAAAGGGCCAGTCCACCCTGAAATCCCAGAGAGAAGATAAAGATCCGCGTGAGAAGTACTAATACAACACGATGAAAGTACTCCACTACCAGTAAAATACCTGCATTTTAAACGTACTGAAGTAAAAGCACATACGTTTTAACAGGAAAATAGTTTGTGGACGCTTTGAAGCTCCCAGTTTGGTCATTTTTGTCCGTCGCCATCTTGTTTTTTTCCCTTTCAACCAGTGAACAGGAAGTGACCATATATGGTCTGAGGAGCAGTGACGTAAAGACGCCGTGTTAAAACTACAGAATATTAAGTCAATAACAAGATGAATACCCTGAAATGATTTTCTCCTGATCTCTGCTGTGACCATGAACACACCACGCTTCATCATCTTCATCCTCTGTATCTTTATTGGAAACTTTTATCAGATCATCTTCAAAAATAACACAAACCTAACTTAAAAAACACATGATGGGGCCTCGGTGAAAAGAATCATGGGAAATGTAGGAATATAAAAAAGGTTTTAAAAAACAACAAAAACACCGTCTGCTTCACTAAAAGAAGTCGAGGTCGTCTGGAGCGTCGAGGTCCCTGTACTCGATGATGGAGCGGGGGTCCCCTCTCTGAGCCCTAAACACACACACAGTTACACACCAACAACACTTAAGAAACGTGTATTTATGAACCATCGTGTCTTTTCTCCACCTGTTTCGTTGTTTCCCTGGAAACCCTCCTCCTCCTCCTCCTCCTAAATGACCTCTGAAGTTGTCATAGTTACCACGCCCCACCCCAAACTGGTTGGGGGGGAAGGGGGGTCCTCCACCTGCAACACACACGCAGAAATACACTCATAAGCACCGTGTCCCCACTAGTGTGAGTGTGTGTGTGTGTGTGAGTGTGTGTGTACCAGGGAAGCCGGGCATCGGAGGTCTGACTCCAGGAGGATATCCCAGAAGGCTTTGCTGCTGTGGCGACTGACCAGGAAACCCTGGCATACCAGGGGGCATGGCTTAAAGGGAGAGAATATTTATTCAATTGTATTCAAACTTTATTGAGACAGTGAAGACAATCATTTTAAATTCACAAAACAATTAAATAAAAACACACTATTGTGTTCTGACCCACAATCCTTTGCACATTTCAGACTCCTATAATAAACATGAAACTATTCTAATTATTAAAACAATTCAACTTCTATCTTCTACCAGAAACAAATGAACAATCCACGTTTCCCAGAATGCCTTTCAGCAGTAGACACTTCCTGTGCGTGTGTGTCACACACCTTGTGCTGGCGGGGGGAGGGGCTTGTTCTCAGGTAAGGCGGGTCTCTTGGCATCCAGCAGGAAGTTGTTGAAGAAGACGACTTCCTGTGTGACGGCGGAGACTTTGTCACCGTGTTTGTTCAGAATGTGTTTACGCACAAACTCTGGAGCCTGAACAACAACAACAACAACAAGTGTTACCACAGTAACCACAGACACACACACACACACACAGACAGACAGGTAGGAGGTCTCACCTTGAACTTCTTCCCGCTCAGAGGACAGAGCCACTTGTCTTTACTGAGCTCCTGAGTGTTTGAGGACAGGAACTTCTCCACCTGGAGACACACAGACAGGTCAGCAGACAGACAGACAGGTCAGCAGACAGACAGACGGGTCAGCAGACAGACAGACGGGTCAGC